TTTTCAATTGTTTATATTAAAATACATTTCTTTTAACGTTCTTAGACCAATGTTAATAACTTTCAATTGAAAATGTTCATCTATTAAAATATTTAATATTAGAAATATATTATATAATAGATATGACGTATTTAAACAAATTAATTTTATATTATTCTTACTTTAATAAGAATTAAATTGATTCTGATATTACGAAACATTTAAATAACAGTAAAAAAAAAAAAAAAAAAATTAAAGAATGTCCAATTATTGGAGATAAAAAAAAAAGCCGGAATATTTCCAACGTTTTTTTTTTACAGTTTTACCAACGTGTAACTTTAATCGATATTTTATATCACACAATGAAATTTAATTGCTATACTCTTTTTTCCGGTAAAATACTATTCATTCGTGTTATCACTGTTCACTATATTTCGTAACACATTGATTAAAACCAAAACTGTGATGATAGTATTAAACAAACAATGATTGTTGAAACTTTGACAAGAATTACATTTTAAAAATTACAATTTAAAACTTAAACATATTTAACTTGTTTAATATTATAGTAATATTAACTAGTTAATTAAATGGAAGTGTGTGCTTGTGATGGCACAGCTGAACATTGATCGCTGAACTAGTTAATTAAATAATTAATATTATATATTAATTAACTAGTTAATGAAATAGTTAATATTATAGTAACGATAGATAATATTTCTAAATAAATCGATTTGTTCGATTTTTAGAAAAAAAAATAAGCGAATCATTCGAAACTTTTAACCGATAGTGTAATTTGTATGCATGTTATATACATGAATGTATGTGTTGTAAGTATTGGTGAAGAAAGGTGTTATGTATAATACTTTGCTGTAACTTTTCCACCTATTTTTCATTCTCCTCATCTCTTTTCTTTTGCTAGTTTCTTTAGCTATAAATATGTATATGCACATACACACACGCATATATATATATACATAGTTTGAGCATCAGCAGTAAAAAAAACTTGTCGGTATTATACAAGCGTGAAAAGACCTTTTAAAATTCTTTTTTATTTTTCCTCTTCTTTAAAAAAGGGAGAGAGCAAGAGAGAGAGAGAGAGAGAGAAAGAGAGAGAATTAGAGAATGGCTCGGTCGGTGTACGCAAATATAATAGATGAAAGAAAGGGTATAATGTTCAAGGTTTTGAATTGTTTCAAATTCTTCGGGGGTTATTTTTGTATTATGTGTACGTCAGGTGTATAAATGAAAACAATAGGATTTTTCATTCATTCATAAATATTCATTTTTAAATATTTCATATTAAATATTTATTTATTATTAAATATTGTTAGGTTCAAAATTTTTCAACTAACCAAATCAGGTAATAACAGTTCCCTTGTTTTTTTTTTTTTTTTAGTAATTTTACATCTTATCTTAATATATATATATATATAATATACGTGTCACGTTGTTTGTACGCAATGGACTCGTAAACTACTGAACCGATTTGAATAAAATTTTGCACACTTTGTGCAATTTCATCCAACTTAAAAGATAGGATAATTTATATCTCAATTTATAATTGCGAATTATTTCAGTTTATTACCAAAGAGTCATGATTATCTCTGTTAAGTAAGATAATTCGTTGACTTAAAGACGTGTGTATCGGACTGATTGTGCACCCATAGTTAATAATATATTTTATTTGAAAATTAATAGAAAATGTTTTGTTATTAATGAAAAATTGTGCGTGTAAAATTAATGAAGAAAAAGTTAGAGAAAAACTTTCGATATAATTTAATATAATTTTATACATAGTTTATACTCTCTTTAATATGAAAAAAAATGAAATATATATATATATATTATCTCGAAATCTAATATGAAATTACTAGATAGTAAGACGATAGTTTCTCCACTTGTTGCATTATAATTTACTTATATAAGTAATTTCGCCGATTGAGTTTCTTTTTTCTTTTTTTTCTTCTTCTTTTCTCCTATTATTACAAATTAAACGCGAATACGTGTATAAGTAATGCATTTATCCGTGTTCAATCTCGTATTTATATTTCGACTTACATAGGTTAGTTGAAAAGTCTTGAACCTATTATAGAAAACAATTTCTATTTTGATCAAATTCACGTTTATTTTTTGACATAGTTTTAAATCTTTTCAACTCACCCTCGCACATTAAAAAAAAAAAAATGAAAAGAATAAATGTTTTATAATTAATTAATAAATTGTGTCATTTAAATTCTATTGAAAATAAAAATCAATATATGCATGATTATTCATTTACAAAAAAAAAAAAATAAAAATAACAAAAATAAAAAGAATGAAAAGTAATGAAACAAAATGCATAGATATAAAAAATGTTGTCTCAGTTAATATCACCTTATAATAAATACGGCCCTGATAATATTTGTATATATATATATATATATATATTGAATCATCATCGATATTTCTAGCGTATTTATCGATTTGCTGAATGTCTCATTTCAAATGTGCTAGATGTTCTTGAAAAATTCTTATCTAAAAGAAAAGACATTGGGTACCATCGACACATATTACTTCCGTTTTCTAAGAATATTCTTCAATATACAGAGAATTCTCTATCCACGTATGTATAATACTTACATATGTATTAACGTTGATAAACATACAACCGTTATCTATAAGAAAATACATAATGTCTTCATATCAGATAAAAATTCGAAGAATTGAAAAACAACTTTTAATAATAGTAATTTTTACATTTAAAAGCATTTATGTGTGTAAATGTATGCATACGTGTATGTACGTGTATATGTACGTGTGGGTGTGTATGTGTGTGTATGCCTATTTAGAAAAAACTACGTGGTGTGTAGTGTGATAGTGATAAGTAATTATTAATAAAGAAATAGAAAGAATATTATCATCAATGAACACTAATTATATGATAATATTAATTTTCAAATATATTTTAAAATTTCATTTTAATAACACGAAAACAAATATTTCAACAACAACAACAACAAAACACACATTTAAATATAATGAAATAACGTAAATGTAATCAAATTGTTAATATTTGAAAATATTTCAACTCACCCACACGTATTTTTCAAATTACGTAGATACAATTGTTCTTTTGATCAAATTCTCCTTTTTTTTTTTTGTTCCAACATTCATCCTCGTATATTAATGAATTTTTGGGAGGGAAATTTTTCATAAAGTTAACGTATAGCCAACTAATCGAAAAAAAAACCTATTATAATATATTTAACATATGTAAAAAAAAAAACATACTTTAGTCATATCTATTGTCAGTTCACCTTCCATGGTGAATCTCTTACCCTATTTAAATATATATATGTATACCCTAACAGCATGCGTCCAAGCACGTATACAAGTTAGTCAATGAAGAGGCAGGGGGGGGGGGTTATGCTTTTTAAAGAAGTCCTAACTTCCTATACACCGATCGTGGTCGCTCGTTTCAATCGCAATCTCGAGTATTGTTCTCCCTTTGGATCAAGCCTATTGTCATCGTTGATGGTGCTTCAAGAGAGTACTATAGCTACTACATACGAAGAGAGACAGAGAGAAAAAAACAGAGACAAAGAGAGAGAGAAAGAGAGAGAGAGAGGGAGAGATAGATAAAAGGGAGAGAACTTAAGACTCTCAAGTTACTTCCACCGAATTACGTTACTTTACAAATGAACAATCCTATGAGAATGACTACTAGTAAATATGAAAAATACAAATATTTTCCCTGATGCTTTCATAATTCGCGATACTAGAATTACACAAGCGTCCTCCTTTCTCTCTCTCTCTTTCTCTCTCTCTCTCACACACACTCACACACACACACACACACATAACACAACGGAATTGATGAAAAGAAGAATTTCACGAGTTTACGCCTATGGATCAGAGGTGCGTGATATTTCTTGGAAACGTTGACGTATCACGGATATTCCAATCTAAATGTCTCCACCCATCGGAAAGAAAATAAATAAATAAAATATTTCACTATGACACATTTCGATAGAATACAATTCAACATTTAACAAAAAAAATATATTCTGCTCGTTTGTACTTACGAAAATATTATTACAAATGTTTTTTATCAACTTAAATTATGTCATATTAGTTATTATCAGAAATCACCATCATCATGCTTTCTATCTACATTATATAAAAGCACTTAATTAATAATTAACTTTAACGGTAAACATTTAACAAGTTGACTCACATTATGTTTCATGTTTTTTTTTTTCCCCCCAAAATATTTGTTTATAATATTCTATTGTTGTAACAAGTGATTAAATAAGAAAATAGAATTAATAAGAGTACATTAATATTGTTATACATTTTATATCAAATAATTATAATTTGTTATAATTGTTCCCATTTGTTTACTTATATATTGTTCAAAATATCAATAAAATATAATATGTGTAAGACTATATATATGTGTACAATCATCATCACATGGATAAAATGTTGATGGTTATTATCATCGTAATTTGCGTCAACCTGTCAAATAAGCATTACGTCGAACAACGAAAACTAATCTCCGACGTCTCGTTGAATCCTATTGGCTGATAGGAAAGCGCGCGCTTTTCGTAATTGCGGAGATATCAACAGGTACGACAGCGCTGTTACATTAGCAAAAGATCAAAAGAGAAAGAAAGAAAGAAAGAAAGAAAAGAGCAAGGTAGTAAGTGATTCATACAGGTAGAAGATAAAAAGATAGAAGAAAATATCCATTCTATATTTAAATCCATCCATTCACATATAACAAAGAAAATAAGATCAAAAGAATGATGAAAAAAGTTTAAAGAAAACCTAGATAATAAAAACACGAATAAATAAATGGAGGACACAAAGAGAACACAAAAAAAGATAAACGTAAGCAAGCAAGCAAGTAAGTAAGTAAGCAAGTAAATAAAGTAAGCGTTACCTTGTCGTTTCTCTTGGATGAACGCAGTAGTAAGAAGACGTCTCGTGCTGAAGGTCTTTTCTCTCCTCTTCGTCTCTTTCTTCCCTTCTTCTTTTCTTCTCTGTCTGTCTGTCTGTCTCTCTCTTTCTTTCTTTCTTTCTTTCTCTCTCTCTCTCTCTCTCCCTTGAAGAATCACGTCGTCCTCGCTATACCTGACCGATCTACGTGCCCGCCTTCATCTCGGAACTCGTATCTGCAACGACGATCCACTCTCGTTTGTACTCGGCTCTTACTACCACGACGCACATACTACAACCCTTCTCGAGTCTCTTATGTGAAAAGAGAAATACACTGAAAGAGAGAGAGACACAATATATTCTCTCTCTCTCTCTCTCTCTCTCTCTCTCTCTCTTGATCTATGTTAGATTGTTTCTTTCGATCGTATAATACTCGATTCTTCACCGCTGACGCACCAACTAATACCTACAGCAGCGCACCATGGCCGGTACACGTTGTCGTTGTCTTCGTCGTCGTCGTCGTCGTGTAATTCTCGGTAGACACACCGACGTTTCAAGGTCGTTACTATTGCCTCTCCTATCTGTAAATCTTTCAATACTCTTATATCTCTTTTCTTTACTTCTCGTTACTTTCTTTAGCGAAGTCTAGTCGAACGTTTAAAAATTCACGCCACGATTCGCGAACACTGCTCTCTTTCACTGGCACACTTACACTATCGTACAGTAGATCAACACACACACACGCGCGAGCGCGCGCACTTGAGAGCGCATGTATTATGCATATACGTATATGTACATATACCTGCACTTCGTAAGCAGTTAGAACATACTGAGAAAAATCATTCGAACGATATCGTCGCGTGGTACGAAAATAAAATAACTAATCAAGTCTTTTTTCATAACAACGAATGTCCTAAAGATCATGTAACACCTTACGTTTTCTTTATTTACGTATACACGTTATCGAACGTAAATGATATGCATATGTATATGTATAGATATATATATATATATATGGATTTGTTTATACCTTTTAAAACCGTCAGAGAACAAAGTCGAATAAAATTCGTTTCGTGTGTGTATATATCACCGTGCGACATCGAACGAGGAAACGCAGACTGCTAAGAGCGTTCGCGTTTACCGGCAGCACACCGCTCCTCGCACGGTGAGCGGCGGGTTCGTCAAAGCCTTCTGATTGGCTCAGCACCAAACTAGAGGTGGCGGTCGAGTCCCACGAGCGTGCGCACTCCCCGTTTCACCTTCTTCAACCCCCTCACACCCCACTACTCTTCGTCTTCTTCTTCTTCTTCTTCTTCTTTTACCTTACGCTTACCCTCGACCCTACTATTATTCTCTTCCATCACTTTACACATCTATTTTCTATTCCCCAATTAATTTCTTTTTCTCCACATGTTTTTTCACTCTTGTTTAACAAATTTTTTCTTCTTTTACCTTATGGAAATATATTTAATTGTATTTAGAAATAGATCGTTTATTTTGACAATTATATTTTTCATACGCGTGTTAAAACGTACAGACAGACAAAACAACACGACGAACATACACGAACGTGGGTCCCGAGAAATCTCAGCCGGCACTGTCACGTACGTCGCCGAAGATGCACGAGCGCGTGCGCGTTACACCTGTCGCCAGTGACGTAATCCTTGGATCCACCGACGTTGCGTTACCCCTTTCGATACCCCCCACGTCTTCTATCAACAACTAGTGATCTCACGCTGCGATCGGAGGGCGCGAAAATTTTCATTATTTTCTCCATTGACACGTTACTACTCGTTCTCTTATTATTTGTTTGTTTGTTTTTTTTTTTCACACTAACGTATCTACGACATATGGTCAAAAATATATTGATTATATAATTTATTCGAAATATGTTTATCCAAACAATGAAGTTCTTATTATTCTCCCTATTCTCAATTCGTTTTGCTCGTTACTTCGCTGTTAACCTATTCGGTACGCTACTCAAAAGAAATTCGATAAGGATAGTTTGTTTGGATTGCATTTATAAGAAAGAATGATAAAGGATGAGCATATCATTGCGATTATATACGCATCAGGAGATAACTGTGTCAAGTTGAAAATAAGATCTCATAGCAAACCAAATTCAATATCTTTTTTTTTTTTTTTTATTACGCCTTCTTTTCTGTTTCTTTTTTTCTTTTTCATTTATTTCTCTAATAACAAATCTTGTTTTTTTTTTTTTTCCATTTACATTAAATACAACTACGCAAAAATTGTGAATTACAAATGATCCTGCAAATGTTATTCGATATTGCATCGTTTTTATATTGAACTATACGCAAAAATGTGAATTACAAATGATCCTTCGTTTTCATTCGAGATCGCCTCTTTTAAAATGAAATTAACATAGTAAGTCGTCGGTCGTCCCAGTTTCCTACTTCGTAAACACGTCTTACCTTAATTCAAAGAAAATTAAGAGCGTAAACGATTGGTGTTTTTGGTCTTTAGTTAACGTTACTTTTTTTTTCTTCTTTCAATTCCAAATTAAGATCTTGTCATTGGTCGTTTGCCGTAGCTACACGGCCATTTTTGTTCCGTGACGATTGAGAATATTTTAAAAATAAGATTCGAAAAGTAGTTTTATAATAAAAAAAAAAAAAAGAACTGTTACTTATACTAATTAATAATCTTAAACACCGTTTCTGACGGATAATAAGTACGAGGAAAGTAGGTGTACGGAATAATTATTATTTATTTTCAAGTCGTTGCATAACTAATTTATACGATGCTCCATCTTGCGGATCGAAAATACTTTCCTTATCGTGCTCATTTTCATTTATTATTATTTGACGGTGTTTTGTATTATTAAAAAAAAAAAAAAAAAAAACACGTTATTTTTATAATATAGTACTACATTTGTGTAATATGTTATCATCAAAGTTAATATTTAGAGTCTTTTTTTTTTCTCGCGTATAATTTGAAAAGAACATTGTCAAATTTTATTTCTCACGACTAATTATTTACTCGGACTTGATAATTGAAGTTAAAATAAGTCATGAACGTAATGACGTCTAACAGGAGTTGATTTAATTATCAGTATATGTGGCAACTAAGCGTATAATTAAATTTGACAACTATGTGTAAAACGGTACTACTCTAGTCATCAAAGTTTCCTACCTTATCGATATTATATTTATAAATTTACGATATTTTATCGATTCTATGAAATTAGGAATAATATTTATTAAATAATTTTTCATTTGTGTAAACAAGAAATTTAATACTTTATTTATCATTAATTAATAAATTAATTAATTATTACATTTATAATTAATTTAGTAGACTTTTTGTAAATGAATAATTATATTCAGAAGAGTTTTGCAAATTTATAATTGTTTAAATAAAAATCGAAAGATTTAATTTTAAATAAAAAAAAAAAGAAAGAAAATTATTAATATTGATATAGTAGATTTCGTCGATAAAATTATCAACTATCGATAATCGGTATATGAAACGTTAAAAACGTACCCGAGTCAGTAATATGAGCGAAGATAACTGCATTTCCAAGATAATCGATTAATTTCGTAAATAAAATTTTGCAAAAGATATATTTATCGAAAAGAAATAATGATGAATATCATCTGTAATATTACCGTAATAATTATAACCCTAAATAAATTCTGTATTAATTCGAAACGTTAAATTTTCTAAGGACTAATGAAAAAAAAGATCAAATTTGACAACGAACAATATAATTTTAATCAATTTTTGTTTCTTTTTTATTTCATCCTCTGTACAAAGTACTTCAACAAAGTTAGTTCAATTCTTATTAAGCAAAAGATTAAATCAATTTGAATGAAAGAATTAATTTTTTTTAATTGTAAAAACATCGATGAGACTAATAATCCATTGATTGCACGTATGACTTTAATCTAAATAATTAGTGCTGAGTGTGTAATAAATCACATTTACATTTGTTATTAATTTTGATAAATATATACTATAGAGATACATAATGGAGATTATGGAAAATGGAGGGCCTTTTAATAAATATTATCAAGACGATCAATTTTTGTTTCTTTTTTTTTTTTATCGAAATTGCCACTTATATATATATATATATATATTCTTTCATTTTTAGCACTTATTTGAATTAATCGTTAAATACAATTAAAATTCATATAATCTACATTACAAACCGTCCAACCAATTATTTTCTTTTTTTTTTTTTTTTTTTAAGCTTTGGTTCACACGGTCAAGAAAGATGATTAATCGCTATCATAATGTTCGCACCTGCTTAGCAAGCCTAAAAATCTGTAGACGAACGATCCCGTAACGATAATTATCTTCGGTAAATAATTGATTTACATTAATATCGATCGTCAAAAGCTCGATGACTTTTATATATTTATTTTTTTTTTTTTTTTTTAATATTTTCTCACGCTCGCTTCCTATTCTTTCTTCTCTCTCTCTCTTTCTCTTTATCTCATATTTTCTTTCTTTATTATTTCGTATCTTCGTCTTTCACTTTGACGTCATGTAAATTAAATGACATTGACCAACCGCATTTACAAAATCTTTTCTTCGTCGGACGGTCGATTATGTATTGCGTAAAATTGATTTATTTAAATCGATCAAGAGATCGATCATCAACATCTCCCTTCACTTCCCCCTTCCCCCCCCCTCCTCACCCCGCATTTTTTTCTATTCTTTTTCATTGATTATTTTTTATTTTTTGTCTGCCATACCAACGTCATTCCTCTTAATGCTAAGCTGGGTGGAAACGTTTCGATATCGTTCGACGCGATTTATTCGCATATTTTTTATTTTTATTTTTTTTTTTTTTTATACACGTATACGCGTGTATACAAGTGTGTGTGTATACAAGTGTGTATACTTTGCCGGATGTCCCAAGAGTCGTGGATTAATGTGATAGGTGATAGGAAAAGTCATTTTCAAGTAAAAATCATTCACGTAAGTTATACCCCCCACGATTATATTCGATTCCTTCATTGTTTTCCAATTTATTACAATTTTTGTAATAATTAATTATTGTTTATTCACATGTAAAAAAAAAAAAAAACAAATAGAAGATTAAGAAACAATTGTTGTGTAGTAAAAAAAAAAAGTTTAATTAAAAATATTCCTAAAAGTTTAAATAACGTATTCATAAATAAAACTAAGTTTGAATTTTAACAAGTGGAACGATAACAAGATAATTGTTTTAATCACAGTCAGATAAACTTTTAATGAGATAATTGAAAATCTTTGATACATTTTTTTGTTTTTTGTTTTGTTTTTTTGTTTTTGTTTTAAGAAAATCTTTCAAAGCAATTTTCATGAATTTGAATAAATGTTAAAGCTACGAATAATCGAATAAAACTTGTGAGATTTCGTTTGCTATCAAAAAATGACTTCACCTGTTGTTGTTCATTTTGGTTTTTGTAAATTCTTGACCATTGGGACACCCTGTATCTATATATGATATTTATAATCTCTCAATTGTATTTTGTATATGTATATGTTTCTTCGAGTTTGAATCGTAGTGCATGGAAGAAGAGATAATCGTTATCTTCCTTCTTCTTCCTTTAGTTTCGTCGTCTTTTTGTCCTTTATTTATTTATTTCTTTTTTTTTTTATTAATTAGAATACGATTTAGTAGAAGTAATAATAGTAGTAGTAGTAGTAGTAGTGATAGTAGTAGTAGTATTAGTAGTACGGCTTAGAAACTATAAAATAGGCAAATATTTCCCTACATTTTTACAATTACGACGAAGATATACAAGGGACTACTCTAGTTGTCTCAATGAAAAAAGGGGATGATTTTTATGCAAAAAAAAAAAAAAAAACATAAATAATAATAATTATAAAAGAAAAGATACGAAATGTTCATAATTGTAATTAAATAAATCAAAGTTTCGACATAATTGTTATTAAATATTAAAATTGAGATGAATAAAAGTGAGACGATAATTGAAACTACAAATTTGAAAACAAACTCAAAGGATTTTCGTTAATTTTCTATTAATAGACGAATTTGATTCTACTTTAAGACGATTATGGTTGAATTATTGATTATGTGGTAGAGATTGTAACTTCAATTTCGCGAATATAAGGCAATTATAAAGTTTCATTTTCATTTTTTATATAAAGCGTCTATTATTAATGTAGTTAACGAACTTATCGACTGTAAATAATGTCTCTCTTTCTCTCTCTCTTTCTCTCTTTCTTTCTCATGTTCACTCTGTCGGTAAATAATAAAAATTTATATATATATATATAT